CAAGATATCATTTGGACTCAGTGTGGAAGGCACAATATCAACAAGAGGATAGAAAAAGCCAGAAACAGACAGAACAAACAATAGAGGAAACAATTACACAGGTAGAAGAGGAAAAAGAGAAGATGAATCAAAAAGGTGAGGAAATAGTAAAAGAGCAGAGGATTACGAGATCAACAAGACCTAAATATAAGTAAACCAAAATGGAGAAGGAAAATGGAATTTTTTCAGTGAATATAAATGGATTGAATTCCCCATCAAAAAGGAAAAGAAGGTGGAAGATAGATTATAATGTGGGCTTGCTTAGAGAGAATGAGAATTTGTTGAAACAAATTAGAGATCAAAGCCGAACCCATATTAAAAGAATTTATGGTGTGTTAGTGGAATTGGATTCAGAAGCAGAATTAGTTAAAGATTGTATGGTTAAATGGGCTCAAAATTTTGATGAACCAATTTCATTAGATATATGGGAGACTATTTCGGTGAGGAATGTTAAATTTACACAAGCCCAAAATTTACGGGAAAATTTCTATAAAATGTTTTATAGATGGCACCTTGATCCACAAAAAATGTCTCGTATGTATTCAAACTTGCAGCCTAAATGTTGGAGATGTGGTTGCTTGGATGCCACTTATTATCATATCTGGTGGTCATGTAAAAGCATAAAAGCTTTTTGGATTAAGATACGGTGGAATATACAAAGAATTTTCAAAAGAAGGATAAAATTTACTCCACAATTGTTTTTGTTGGGTATTGTCTCTGATTGTGACAACAAAGAAATTATTTTAATGTTAAACTTAATTACAGCAGCAAGGTTGTTAATAGGACAGTATTGGAAGAAGGAATTTTTGCCTACTTTGCAGGAATGGTTTCTTAAAGTTTCTTACTTATCTGAAATGGCAAAAATTTTGGCTTTTTTGAAAGATCAATCTCAAGAGAAGTATCTCTTGGTGTGGAAAAGATGGATAAATTTTATTCAATATAGGTATGATATTAGAAAATATTATTTAGCGTTTGAATAATTTATATTTAAAGTTTAAGATATTATTTAGAAGTGTAGAAGTTTAGTTTTTCTTCTTTTTTTCCTTTTATTATTTTTTTATTTTCTTTCTTTTCTTCTTTTCCTCTTTCTGTTTTTTTTTATATATAATGGAGTTAATGTATTTAACAATTTGTTCATTGAATATAATCATATTTGTTTGTGGTTTATTTGAGTTTATAAGCTTTTTCTACTAAATTTTAGTTAACTCTGTATCTAGCTCTGGGAAGAACGGGGGAGGGTTTTGGGGAGGGTTGGGAGGGATTGGGAAAGGGGTTTTTATTGTAAAATTGTAAAAATTATAATAAAAAAAGGAAAAAAAATTTCAAACAACTAAGGGGAAGATTTTCATCAAGCTGGATTTGAGGGAAGCATACTACTGAGTTCGAATTAGGGAAGCGGATGAATGGAAAACTATGTTCAACTACCCTTTGGGATGTTATCAATTTCAGGTGATGCCGTTTGGGCTGCAAGGGGCACCTGTTGTGTTCATGCAACTGATAAATGAAGTCCTACACAAACACCTGTATAAAAGGGTGTTGGTGTACTCAGATGATATTTTAATCTATACTGAGACCATGGAATAGCATGTAAAGCTAGTGAGAGTTGTGCTAGAGAAGCTGCTAAAAGCTCGGTTGTATGTGAAGCTATCCAAATGTGACTTCTACAAGACCAATCTAGACTATTTAGGTTACCACATCTCCAGGAAGGGGGTAGAAATAGATCCAGGAAAGGTGAAGGCAATCTTAGAATGAGAAGCCTCACAGACCAGAAGCCAACTGCAGAGTTTCCTGAGGTTTGCGAACTTCTTTAGGTAATTTATTCCCACATTTGCACAGATAGCCCTACCAAGAACTTGCTAAAAGCAGGGAAGGGGACAAAGCCCAGACCAAGTCAACCCTTGAACTGGACTGTCAAGTGCCAAGTGGCTTTCGAAAAGCAAAAGAGACTCTGCCACTGCGCTGATTTTAAGATACCTGAACCCAGAGGAGCTATTCATGACCCAGGCAGATGCTAGTGACATGGCAGTGGGGGGCAGTTTTAATGCAGAGAAATGGAAGTGGAGAGTTTCAACCTTGCACCTATATGTGTCGGAAATAATCTGACACCGAGAGGCAGTGAACTATCTGAGAGAAGGAGGCATATGTTGTCCGCTGGGCCTTTCTCACCTGGAGACAGTTTTCAGAGTACAGTAAAATCCCGTTCGAAGTTTGGACTGACCACAAGAACTTGGAAGCACTGAAGGCCCCAAGGAAACTGTCCCCTAAGCAGATCCAGTGGGTTCAATACTTCAATTGGTTCAGCTTCGACTTACGTTAGTTTGCAACACTGGTGGAATGGATGGACTCCCTGAGAGGCATATTACAGTATGCAATGCACTAGGGAAAACCAGGGAGACCCAGAAAAAGCAAGCTGATTGGAAGATAGCCTCTCCAAAGGGAGTAAAGAGTGGTGATAAAGTGTACTTGTCCACAAAGTATTTAAACCTAAGACAGCCCTGTAAAAAAGCTGAGTCCTAAGTATATAGATCTTTCCTCCATTGTGCGAATTATAAACCCAGTGACAGTATAGCTACAGATACTGAGAAGTCTTAGGCAAGTTCACCCAGTGTATCATTGCAATTTGCTAAAGTCTGTTCGAGATTCTAAGCTAAGACCGGTTGGAGGGACCCCTTATAAGAGGGGAGGAATATTATGAGATTAAGGACATCTAATAGACACCACATCCTATGCCCCGATTCCTTCTACAACAACTTTGGCTAAACTCTTTGTGCAAAATGTATATCGTTTTCATAGGGCCCCATACCATAAAATATTTTGTGTGGTGGAAGAGCTATCCCGTAATGGATGCAGAATGGGTGGTGGCAAATGATGTTAAAGCAGCTAGACTAATAAAGAAGTTTCACGCCAGGTATCCTAAAAGACCAAAGTGAAACAGTGGTTTGTAAATGGTAAATTGTTTATGTTTTTGTGTATGTGTGTTCATTCCAAATGTATCATTTTCCTGGGGGTTGGCATGTCAAGAGTGATTCACTTTTCACCTAGTTTCTCTGTGCTCTCAACTTGACAACAGTCGGAAGGAGGGATAGTTGAATTGCATGGGGTGGGAATGGAATGCCAAGAATCCATTTGCAAATCATGAGACCCTGCTCCTCCTTTCAGTTCCACATTGCACAGGTGTTTGAACAGTCCAGGCAATTCTCATAACAAAAGGAGCATATGTGATTGGATATCACAGTGGACTCAAGGGAACAGCCAAAAGGGGAATTCAAGTTTAATTATGTGGACATTTGAGGGGGAAATTCAGAGCTGGTTTTGTTTCTTTTGTACCAATGTAGTGTATTCAATAAAAATGTTACTTTTGGGAAGAACAGTGTCCCAGGAGTTCCTTTCTTGGATTCACTAGCTGGACAGTGTTGTGCTGATTCATCTCCACTCTCCAGGGTCAATGGTAATCAAGAAAGAGAGCTCCTGACCCTGGTCCTTATGGTGTGGGGTGCTACAGGAATCGGTGCTCTTCCTTTTACTATTTAGCCTTATATGAGATAGATGGATGAACTCATGGGGTAAAGTATTATCACTATGTTGATGATGTCTAGCTATATATCTCTGCTCCTGGTAAATTAAGTGATACTGTGGGCATCCTATCCTGGTATCTGCTGGCTGTGAGGGTCTGATAGGGAACAACAGCTATTCAGCTTCAGCTGAATCCTGGCAAAACTGAGTGTCTCTGAATATTGGGGTCCTCTGGTTCTAGGACTACATCTGTGTAAATGGGGTTGCACTGCCCCAAACAGACCCTGCACACATACTCCTGAACTCAGAGTTCCTGCTCAAAGAGCAGATGACAATCATGGCTAGGAGGGCCTTTGCACAATATTTTATTGGACATCAGTTGTGCCCATTTTTGGATGAAGGGGCCCTGTTTACAATCACTCATGCCCTGGTCACCTTTCAATTGGATTTTGTTCTACATGGGGCTATTCTTAAAGACTATCTAGAAACTTCAGCTGGTGCAAAATGCAATACTATGAGTGGTTCACTTGTTACACCTCTACTGGGTAAGATGCATTGATTACCAGTTTGTTTCTAGGTCCATTTCACCAAGTGCTGGTTTTGACCTTTAAAACCCTACATGGCATAGGATTGGATTATTGATGGACTTCCTCTCCCCAGTTTCATCCATCCATCACACCAGATCTAATAGAATGGAAATGTTGTCTAGGAAGCTACATTTAATAGGCTCTAGACCAGTGGTTCTCAACCTTTCTAATGCCGTGACCCCATAATACAGTTCCCCATGTTGTGGTGACCCCCAAGTGGGTGTGGCCACCAATAAGAGGAAGTAGGACAGCTAGGGAAAAGGGAAAAAAATGGTGGACAGCGTGGTTTGGCGACCCCCGTGAAATGGTCGTTCGACCCCAAATGGGGTCCCGACCCACAGGTTGAGAACCACTGCTCTAGACAGTAGTTCTTTTCCGGCGTCCCTGTGGTATGGAATCTCTTCCACCCTGAGCCAAGGATGGCTTCATTGCTTTTAAGTTTCTAAGTTATGCCAGCAGGCCTGGGGACCTCAAGAGATGGGTGAACTAGCAAAGTGGCTCCATTATATTACTATTCCTTCATGTATTATTCTCGCTTTAGTTATTTTTGTAGTTCTTTAATGACTTTAATATTTGTTGATGATAATTGTTTTAGTTACTTATTGTTTTAGTTCTGTTGTATGCTACCCAGAATAAATTGCTTCTGAAATGGTCAGCTATACAAATTAGAGGAATCAATATTGGAATTGTTTTCAATATATTGGTTTGTTTTCACAACCCCTATAAAATAATTATATTGGCTTGCTCCTAGAACAAGAAGAATACAGAAAATTCATTTCTAGCAACTTGGGAAGGTTTCTATTGTCGTCCTTCAAGTTTTAAAAGTATTTATTTTCTCTGTCTCTTTTTTCTGCTTTTCAGGATTTCCTAAGACAATCAAGACACGGGAAAAGCTTTCTGAGTATCTTACCATAATGATATTTACAAGTTCAGCACAACATGCAGCTGTAAATTTTGGTCAAGTAAGTTTATTTAGATGTAATCATATGGATTATAAACTTTTAAAATGGCCAAAAATATAAAATGTAAAAAATGGAAGAAAACGTTTTCCTTCTGCAGAAAACACAGAAAAGATAGAATAAAAGGGGTGGATTTCAAATGGCACATTACAATTAATAAATGTATTGGTCACATTGATGGCAGAAGAAAAGCAAGAAATATGAAAGGAGAAGAAATAAAATTATCTTCAGAAATGGGCAACCTGCACAACTGTACCCCATAGCATACAGTCTAATTTGTCCCTGAAAATGGACACAACTAAAAAAAATCAGACTTGTTACTGTGTATATTCACAAGTATTAAGAGGCAAAGGGCTGATTAAATTTATAACCTTGGAGGTCTTCAAGTCCAGCCCCCGGTTCAAGTAAGTGACCCTATACCATTTCAGACAAGTAGCTGTCTAGTCTCTTCTTAAAAGCCTCCAGTGATTAAGCACCCACAATTTCTGAAGGCAAACTGTTCCACTGGTTAATTGTTCTCATTGTTAGGAAATTTTGTCCTTAGTTCTAGGTTGCTTCTCTCCTTTGGTTAGTTTCCATCTATTGCCTCTTGTCTTGCCTTTTGGTGCTTTGAAAAATATGTTGACCCCCTTTCTTTGTGGCAGCTCCTCAAATATTGGAACACTGCTATGATGTCACCCCAGTCCTTCTTTTCACTAGAGTAACATACCCAATTCCTGCAACCATTCTTCATATGTTTTAGCCTCCAACCCTTTAATCATCTTTGTTGCTCTTTTTTGAATTCTTTCCAGAGTCTCAACTTCTTTTTTATATTGTGGTGATCAAAACTGGATGCAGCATATCAAGTGTGGTCTTACCAAGGCCTTATAAAGTGGTACTAATACTTCATGTGATCTTGATTCCATCCCTGTGTTAATGCAGCCTAGGATTGCATTGGCTTTTTTGACTACTGAAACAAACTGTTGGCTCATATTTAAGTGATTGTCCACTAGGACTTCAAGATCCCTCTCATAGTTATTGCTATTGAGCCAGGTTTCACCTAATCTGTACCTGTACATTTGTTTTTTCTTGCCTAAGTGTAAAACCTTATTTTTCTTTACATTGAATTTCATTTTGTTAGATAAGATCCAGTGTTCAAGTCTGTCGAGATCCATCTGGATTTTGAGCCTAGAGATCTGAGTGCTGTGCAATGGGATGAACTCTGGTTCCTTGGCCCAGCTCCTGCTCACCTAGCAGTTTGAAAGTATGCAAATGCGAGTTCACTATTAGTACCACGTCAGTGGGAAGGTAACAGAGTTCTTTGTCCCTTTGATATATAGCCAAAGTAATAGTTTTATTGAATACACTACATTGGCACAAAAGAAGCAAAACCAGCTCCAAATTTTCCACTCAAAGCCTATATAATTAAATTTGAATTCTCCCTTTGGCCATTTTCCATGATCATAGAAAATGACTTCAGATAATGCTGGCTCCCTCAACTAAGAAACAGAGATAGCATCACACCCTAGAATTGGACATGATTGAACAGGGAAACCTTTACCTTTTTAAATTTTACAATACTGCCTAAAAGTTCCTGTTTCATGGACTACTATAGAATTAGGATAGCATCTTTAGACTAGTGAAGCAAAAGAAGTGAACTTTGCCAGGGACTCTAATCTAAATAATAAATAATAACTCTAAATAATAAAAATGACATTAGGGGAAGCAAATTAAAGATTTGGGGGAGCAGTAATTGAAGAATCACAGTTGGAATGATTCATGTAAGCTACTGAATCTGAGTCCAGTAATCACAATAAAAGCACTCCTGATAGATCTATCTACCCTGTACATGAGCACATCCAAAGAAAGGGAGCCTCTATCTACAGAAGTAAATATATTGCTGAACTTTTTTTCATTGTTGTAATATTCAATGGTTATCTGTTCTCATGGAATCAAAAACTTGGAAGATACTTATATTGTAGTTCAATTTCAGTACAGATTATCACCCAAATTTTGTTTGAAGAGTTCAAGAGGAGCAAAACAACAACAACAACAACCCTCACAACTTAATTTGGCTAGCTGTTCCAATAGTTGACAGTTAATACAGTCAGGATATTTCCTCATATTTTCACTTCACTGATTCTGGTCCTGCTCTCTTGGCAATAGAGAATAATGTCAGATGTCCAGCTAGCGAATCCAAGAAAGGGACTCCTGGGACATTGTTCTTCCCCAAAGTAATAGTTTTATTGAATACACTACATTGGCACAAAAGAAGCAAAACCAGCTCTAAATTTCCCACTCAAAAGTCTATATAATTAAACTTGAATTCTCCTTTTGGCCATTCCCCTTAGTCCAGCAGCCCCCAACCTTTTGGGCTCCAGGGACTAGTTCCATGGAGAAAGGTTTTTCTGTGAACCATAGGGGGTGGTTTTGCATGCTGCCTCCATACTATGGGTGGGGCTTTGCTTCTTTGCATGGACCAGTTGCTGGCATGCCATGGACTGGTGCCGGTCCATGGACCGGGGGTTGGGGACTGCTGCCTTAGTCCATTGCATTGTCCAATGAACTATATTCCATTTGTTATGGGAACTGCATGGATTGTTGAAACACCTGCACAGCATGTCCTTGAATGGGGAAGCAGGGCCTCATGATCTGCAGACGGATTCTTGGCATTCCATTCCCACTCCACATGTTTCAACCACTCCCCTCCCGACTGTTGTCAAGTTGAGAGCAGAGAAGAAACTAGGTGAAAAGCAAATCACTCTTGACAAATAAGTTCATCTCCCACTTTTATTCAACTGCCTTTCAGGAATTTGAAGATGGCATCATATCTTCCCTCTGTAATTTCTTCTGTGGACTAACCATAACTAGGACTTTCAATTATTTCTCATGGGATTACTTTACTAGATCCTTCACCATCTGATATTCTGTACTTGCTCCAAATTGTCATTATCTTTTTGGATAAACTGTGGTGCTCAGAACTGGAGACTTTGCTTCAGGTTAAGATCTGCCCTTTTAGCAGTTGCATCACACTGCTGGTTCATAACAAAAAACTTGCAGCAGAAGTCAAGGATAATAAAAAAAAAGTTTCTTCCAACATATTAATAACAAGAAAAAAGTCAAGGAAACTGTAGGTCCACTAAAGAGAGAAGATGGCAAGGAAATTACAGGAAACAAGGAGAAAGCAGAGCTGCTTAACTCATTCTTTGCATCAGTCTTCACACAAAAAGGAATTATAGCCCAATGTACCAAAAACACTACTGCAAAAGACAAACTAGAAACAAAAATTAAAATAAGCAAGAAAATGGTAAGAGAACATCTATCCAACCTTGACGAATATAAATCACCAGGACCCGACAGATTATATCCCAGAGTTCTGAAGGAGATGGCAGATGTTATCTCAGAACCATTTGTACCATATCTTTCAAAAATCCTGGAGCACTGGGGAAGTACCTGAGGATTGGAAAAGGGCTGATGTGGTTCCCATCTTCAAGAAAGGACAAAAAACAGACCCAGGAAACTACAGAGCTTGGAGTCCTAGTGGATGATCCCTTGACTATGAGCCAGCAGTGTGCAGCAGCAGCCAAAAAAGCTAATACAATCCTGGGCTGTATAAACTGAGGTATAGAATCAAAATCATGTGAAGTATTAGTACCGCTTTATAAAGTCCTAGTAAGACCACACCTGGAATACTGCAACCAATTTTGGTCACCATACTACAAAAAATATGTTGAGACTTTGGAAAAAGTTGAGAGAAGAGCAACTAAGATGATCAAAGGTCTGGAGACTAAAACATATGAAGAACTGCTACAGGACTTGGGTTTGGCTAGTCTAAAGAAAAGAAGAAACAGGGGTGACATGATAGCTGTATTCCAGGATTTGAGAGGCTGCCATAAAGAAGACAGGGTCAAATTATTCTCCAGAGCATCAGAGGGCAGGACAAGAAATAATGGTTGGAAACTAATCAAAGAAAGAAGTAACCTGAATTTAGGAGAAACTTCCTGACAGTGAGGACAATTAACCAGTGAAATAGCTTGCCTTCAGAAATCACAGGTGCTCCATCACTGGAGATTTTAAGAAGAGACTATACAGTCACTTATCTGAAATTGTATAGGTTCTCCTGCTTGAACAGGGGCTGGACTAGAAGACCTCCATGGTCCTTCCAGTTCTGTTCTGTTCTGTTCTATTCTATTCTATTTTAGTGTTCAACAAAGACACACAGTTCTTTCCCACTCTATATTTGAACTTCATATTTTTTCAGTTGAAATGTAGAACTTCTCTCTGTTAAATTCCATTCTATGCATTTCGGTCCCTTTTTTTATTTAAATATTAGCTGTTCCATTTGTCATCTGTTGACTTGGTAAGTGTTCTGTTTTGTGCATTGGTAAGGCATTGAGACTAGGCAGGTGTAACAACAGTTGCTTCTTTATTCAAGCTTCAACAGAACCAACACAAAATGGCATGGATCCCTTTTATACCCTTTTGCAGAGAACAGCATCAGCCAATAAATGCAATGTATTTCCCCACTTTGCACGTGCGCAATAGGCTGGAGACAGCCTGTCTAGCCTGGGCAGCCACATGGTCTGCCCGGGTCTCCCTGCAACTTCTTGCATCTGCTCTATGAATCACAGGCCCAGGACATAACACCCCTCTCCTCTTAGTTCAAAAATATATACACTACTATTTTTTAACTACTACAAGGTTACCCTTTTGAGCGTGTTCTTATTTCTAGGGAACCCTTAGGTCTGCCAGCTTACTGACAGGAACCTTACATAATCTTACCTGCTCCGAGCGTCTCAGAGCTACTGCAAGTGCCCGGTCTGCAAGCTCGCCTGCCAGGCTCGGCAGACCGGGACTTTGAGGCCCAATTGATACAGGCGAACCTGCATCTTGCTAACTGGCCTGGTCCGGTAAGCCCAACCCTTTGTCCATTTGACTTTGGCTGGCTCTTTCTGGTAAGCCCAGATCAGAGTTCCTTGGTGGGATGGAATTCCCCAGGTCAGCGAGAGACCCCTGTTGGGAGC